ACATTGACCATAGAGTTGCGCTGGAGGAGCTACAAATACCTAGTGGATACAAATACCTTCTCTCTAGGAATCTTTAGGTCCTTCAGTGAGACTTTTGTCTACAGTTGACTATAGAGTTGTGCTGGAGGACCTAGAGATTCCTAGAGAGAACATATTAACAAAATCCCTTAATAATCAAATCTGCAAAAGTCAAAGCCACAAATGTGGAGGGACAAGTTTACAGTGCCTACTGAATTTTCCCCAACATTTAAATTGCAGTATTTTGTGGTACTGAAGATGTAACCCACCATCGCCACCTGCCACTTGGTTGCAAGAACTGGGATTATGGGGCCTAGATTTACCAATGTCACAAATACCCTGGCTGGTCTTGGGAAAGTATGTTATCTCTTAGCCTTTGTTCTTCCTCTGTAAGATGGAGAATATTACTGTGAATTCTTAAATACAGTAAAAGATCTCTATCAGATATATTCATCTTGTATTAGTTTGCAAACTGAGTTCAGATGTTGGATTTTCCCTCCTAAGCAGCTGTGGTATTGCAAGGTAGTATCTCCCACTAAAAATATATAACTCATCAGCTTCAGGTGTTGAAACTGAACATTAAAACTATCTTGGGATGCCTTAGAGCGGATACAGAATTCAAGGGAGTAATCACTTTAAGAAAAATGCATACACACACTATTCCTACAGTCATTTTTAAACATTCCAGCATTAACATAAATCCCACAGCAATTATTCTAAGAAAAGTGATCGTAAGAACCCCCAGTTCCACAAGGAAAAAAGTGAATGAAACCCTTCCTCATATCATTCAAACTCTCTATAACATTTTACACTCAAGTATAAATACTCCATGTAACATTCACACTTTTTTTTAGGTCAGCTTACCTTTCTTGGGCAGGATATTTTCTTTGTGTGATGTCAAAGAATAACCCATTTCAGATCAGTGCACTGCACTCATCAAATCAAGTTGCCTCCAACTTATTGATCAGGTAATCCCACATAAGGATATCAGATGTGATTAGGCTCAGATAAATTGATGATAGTCTGCTTTAGAACCAATAAAGCTGGTTAGTATTATGCACAGATTTATAGATTGTAACCCTGTTTGGGCATTATAAAACTGGGCTAAAATCATCATTCTGAACAAGGTGAAGGGCCTGTATGCATAGGGGAGGATCTTCTCTATTAACGCTTACAGGACAACAAAAGCCATAACATATGGTTGGGCTAGCATGCCCTTTCCTACTGTATTTGACCAGGCTACTTGGTTTCATAATGCTTAAACAGGGCTAGCATGACAGACTGAGGTGTTCAGTTGCTTCCTAAAGTGCCCTACATCTCATTCTCTGATCTGCCAGTTCAAATTATTGCATGGCGTGGAGGAATTAAAATTTTTGGCCCATGGACAGACTAGAAGTTTTGCAGCAGAGAAAGGAAATTTTGCCCCCTCCTTGCTTGCTTTCCACCAGCAAGCTAAGACGTTTTATTCAAGTAGGCTTTCAATATATAATCATGTCAGGGTAGATTTTATATGGTGTGTGTGTTTTTATGCTTTTTAAACTTCTGTATATCTTTGTGTAATTTTATACTGTTTTTAGTGAAATTATTTTTAAATGTTTGTGAAATTTTTAAAATGTTTTTATCTATAAGCCGCCTTGGATCCCTTTCTGGGAGAGAGGTGGCATACAAATGAAATAAATAAATAAAATGACAACGTAAGAGTTGGTGTGGTGTAGTAATTAGACCGAGACTTGGAAGATCCAGATTCAAATCCTCACCATACCAGAAAATTCATTAGGTTATCTTGGGGTAGTTTCTTCCTCTGCCCTCCACTCTCCACTTGACCTGTATCAGAGGTTTGTTGTGAGGATAAAATGGGGGAAAGGAGAGCCTTGGACTTATTGGAGGAAATGTGCGATATAAATGTAATTATCAAAGAGGAGCTGTGCTATATCAGACCCAAAGCCTGTTTCCACAGTTGGCAGCCAGAGACTGATAAGAAGCCCATTAGCTAGACATGAGTGTGACAGCACATGGTCAAACACATGCACATATACACACTTGTGTAGTCCAGCAATTCATACACAGAGGCAAACTGCTTCTGGTACTGA